CCCCCCCCCCCCCCCCCCCCCCCCCCCCCCGCCATCTCGCCACACAGCACAAAACAAGTTTTGTCTCCTGAACAGCCGAATGTGAACCCCCTCCTCCGCACTGCACTCCCCTTCTCCGGCTCGCCACAAAAAGGCTCCCAGGACGGCAGAGCAGACTGAGAGGGTTCATAAAGTCGAGCTTTGCAGGCTTATATTGCCCCACCGAGAGGGCCCGTGTAAACACAGTGTTGGATTGGTCCGATATCTAATTCACGGCTATCCTCTCAGTCAGTAAGTCTCTCTGAGGTTCAGCTGGCCAGTGCACGGCGGATATTTCCAGGTCCTTTACAGGGACGTGGGAAAGTGGAGGAGAGGGGAAGGGAAAAGCAGGAGAGCAGGGATTGAATATCAAGTAGGGAAAGAGGTGACAAGGAAGTGTGGGGGGGAAGACTGTGGGGGGAAGATTGTCATGTGTGTCAGATTAGGGTTAGGGTTGCAATATAATAATTTAAACAATTCATAAAAGTAGAAGTAGTAAAGGGGAGGACAGTCACAGGGCGGAGAAAGGAGGTGTACTGTAAGGCCATATTCCAGCTGTTGTAATCTGTGGCAGATATAGAGGAAGTTGGGAGCCTCTGGCTACAATCCTCATAAGGGAGGGTCAAGAAGTTGGAACGAACGACACACAGGAAATTACCGCAGCATATCACCATCCTCATAAGAGCATGGAACGCCCGAGCAACGGCACTGAAGAATGCTTGCAGAATGTACATTCTTATTGTGCATGGTTTCTTCATCTTTAGCTTTGGGTACGGAGCCTAATAGTGGCTCAATCCGAAAGTGTGGCAAAAATAAAATGAACAGTGAAGGAAACAGGTGTCCGGCTTAACATTCAAGATGTATGTTCTCCTTTGGAAAGTATCCACACACACATGCAACTATCTAGGATCAACTCTACAAGTGGGAGCTACAAAAAAACACTTTGACAGATGACGATCTCAAAGATTTTCCTCTTTTGGGGCCCTCTCAGGAGAAGCAGAGGACAGGAAGACCTCCATTAGTAAGGCTGCAGCTCCCAGAGGGGCCCAGTCCAAGGCCTATTGTGATAGAGGGGGATGGAGGGTGACAGGGCGTGCTGTGCTGTTATCTCCTGGATGAAAGGTCACAAGCGCTACTCTGACTAATGTATAATTGGAGTGAGTGGCTTCCTGTTTACATTGCTATACTTATCCACCGTAGTGTGTTTGCAAAAAGGGCATTTTGTTGTTGTTTGAGAACTAGTACTAAAGATAGAAAAAGGTGGGAAATACAACAAAAAACTTTGAGATGAAAACTCAAAAACTACGACTTGTAGACGCCGGAGGTCTTTTCTCTGTCAAAGTGGTCCCTAATTGACTGAGCAAAGCCCCCCTCCTCTTAGGGAACATTACTATGTCTGTCAAGTTACCACTCTCGAAAATCACAGTCATTTTTGTAACAACGGGTCCTTCGCTTCAGTCAGAGGTAGACAAAGGCAGGCTTCTCATTTCTAGCCGGGGGCCATTGATGTTGCTGGTTGAAATGGTACTTGTCGCTAGCTGTAGCTAGCTAATTATGCTAATGTTAGCTCCATCAGTTCCTTAAAAACTTGAAAGTCTTGAGCCAACTTTTAATGTTTTCAGCTGACTCGTTTTATATTGAGAACCCTGCAAAATGCGTCTTCAGCAAACACTTGATGGCTATATACATGACAGTAGTATCGGCAGTGAGCTAATTAGCAGGACATGCTAACCTTTGTAGCTTACTCCAGAGCAGAGAAACACATTGTTCAATCCATGCTTTGGAATGGCCGTATTTCCCATGGGATTTATAGTGGGACTATGGTGGGTGGACCGTGGACCCTCTAGGGGGGTCAGGTGGCATAATATAGCTCCATGTACACCTGGCCTACTTACAATTGCTGATTGGACAATCGCTGTTCGGGGGAGGGCTTTTAGCGAATGGTCATTATCGTACCATGATCCTATATAAAAACAAACAAACTTTCTAGGACAACTCACCTGCAAAGTACTCTTCAAACTCTTCGCTTCTGTCAGTAGATGCTTCAGTATCTCTGAGGGAAGGAGACAGAAATGTCAGAAGACATCACATGCATATCAAATACAAAAAAAAATGTCAAGGAAATGGATTTACCCTTCTCAACACATGGAAATGTCAAGCCCACAATGAAATGAGGAGTTTTAGTTCTCAAACTAAAATTCTGCAGACCTGAATAATTTTTTATCGTCAGAATATAAAGTATATTGTATTATATCTTACCTGCCGTGTTGGTGGCCCCATCCTGACTGGCAGTGATACCCAGTGCTGACCTACACTCCTCCAGCAGCTTCTCCAGCTCCTGACCCTGACTGTCCCCAGCTTTGTGAGCCGGCAGCAAAGACTGACTCAGACCGCTGTCCCTTTCCCTCCAGTTCTGCCCAGAAGAGCTGCCCGCCACCGGTGAGGCGCTACACAGAGTGGAGGGGCTCTTTGTGGGGCTGATGGCCGCAGTCTTCCCCCGGGAGGCCAGAGGTCGAGGGCCGGAGGTAGGAGGACCACCATTCCTCCCCAAAGCAGCTTGTCCTTTACCCACAGCACTTCCTGACTTGTGGTGCAGTGGGCTAACTCCAAGGCCAAAGGTGAAGCTATTTGAACTGGCCGGTGGATGAGGCTTCACATCAGGAGCGGCACTGGAAGTGGTAGGGTAGGTGCTTGGCTGCGCTTTCTTCCCACTGGATGCGAGGACTGGGACCGGAGGTGGCGATGAAACCGGTGCTCCAGGGGAAGGTTGAAGTGAGGTAGGGGGAAGGAGTTGGGGGACACCGGGCATGGAAGCAGGCCCATCACTCTGTGGAGAAGCAGGAGGAGTGTGGAAGCTATCCCCAAGGGGCCCTAGAAAAATAAAACTAATTCAGATGAAATAAGAAAAGCAAATACATTTTAAAACCATCTCAAAACATTTATATTAGGGCTTTAGTGTTTTGTTAGTTGTGCTCAACTGTCACCATACAGGTGTCACCGTTGCACATCACCCAGATGTGTCGAAAAAGCAACTCGTATTTTGTATTTACAAGAGCAGGAGGATTGTCTGTCTTTCAACGATTGGCTCCTAAAATCCAGCTCGTCTTAAACTAAGATTTACGGCGAGCACAGAGAAACATAGAAAAACAGCCTTCTACTGCGAAAACTCTGCACATACACCATGCTGCAGATCCAAACATCCAAGTAAAGCAACAAGGCTTTAAAGTTATGAATAAAACACAACAAAACAGATTGAAAAAAAACTGACTGAGAAACTGAATCATATACAGACTGTAGGGAAAAAAACAACTAAAAAGTTTCGTGGTCATTCGTCTGGCATGTCGTCGCTGAAAACACCATTGAGAGCGGTGACCGGGCCAGCAAACATCCAGGCCAAGCCCCTGAAGATGAATGCTTTAATACAGACATTCCTCTCGGGCCGCTCATCCACAATGTGACATTCATTCTCCAAATTCAGGAACGGTGGACACGCGTACATGGAGGACAAATGTTTCCCATACATAGACCAATTTGCAGCAGGCAGGCACAAATAAATTTCCAAACTTGACACAATAGCAACAACACAAGTGATTTCTACTTTTTTGGCTCAGCGCTCCTCAACCACAACAGCATGCCACTAATAACAACTTTCAAAGCTATGGGAACCACTGGGCATCGTGTATCCGTCTTTTCTTTCCTCCTATTCCTTGTTTGGACAAAAGCCTCACTGCTCGTAAAATGAAGTCTTTTCTCTTTTTCCGTGTTTGCAAAGTACCTGCTGTAAAGCCAAGTCATTGGGAAAGAATGACAGGATTGTCTTTCTCATGCCACCTCTGCTTTTTGTTCGTCCAACCATGCGCACGGGGGGCAGATTGACTGAATGAGTGTGCGTGTGTCCATTGAGGTCTGTGTGTGTGTGAGTGTGTGAGAGAGAGAGAGAGAGTGTGTGTGTGTGTGTGTCAGATAGCATTAGGCGTCCTATGATTAATCTGCCGCCCTTGTGCAGAGCCGGGGAATTCTGCCGATTCATCACAGCTGGCCTGAACGAATCACATAGGGACGCCAGGAGAATGACCACTCACTGTGCAACACACAAGAGGGCTGCCAAGATTCCTGCTGCTGCTCGACACACACACACACACACACACACACACACACACACACACACACACA